CTCACCGGGGCAGCTGCCGGACTCCTGACTCTGCCCTCTCCCTTCCTTCCAGCCACCTGCAGGCTCGTATTCGTGTCCTGGTGGATGGGAGCCTCTTGCTCCAGAAAACAATCCCGGACGACACTGGCAAATACACCTGTGTCCCTAGCAATGGGCTGCGGACACCGCCCTCTGCTTCGGCCTTCCTCACAGTGCTGTGTAAGGTCCCACTGCCCCTTCCCTCCCTATGCCACCCTTGCCCCACACTGCCCTCTCTCAGGGACCCTGTCACACCCAGACATCCTGGCTCCAGAGCTGAGCCCTGGTGGCCCCGCTTCTTTTACAGGGGCAGGAAAATGCCTTTGGCCTGCGGCTTCTCCCTTCACGGCCTGCAGCCTGGGAGAGAGGGGCCTATCTCCTTCCATGGCCCTCAACCAGCCTCCCCATCCAGTCCTCCTGATTGGGGTGTGACTGCCCCTCCCTCCCCGGCCCAGATCTCTTAGCCGATGAGCACACGTGGCCACGGCCCAGACACCCCAAGGGGCCGGGCTCCCTCCTTTGACGGATCCCAGGGTGTCCCAAGCTTGCCAGGGACTCTGCTATGGTGTGGAGAACGTGCAGCCACTGGTGCCGCTATCAGGGCTCATCCCTGCCCCACGGGCTGGCAGCATGTTGCCCACGTGGCTGCCACACCCCATGCCCCACCCCCTTCGCTATGGCTCAGTGAGCTCACCAGGCCTTGACAATATGCTGCCCCGTGGTGCCTTGCAGATCCAGCCCAGGTGACCACCATGCCACCAGAGACTCTCTTGCCCATGGGGATGCAGGGCGTGATACAGTGCCCCGCCAGGGCCAACCCTCCTCTTCTCTCTGTCAGCTGGACCAAGGACGGGCATCCCCTGGAGCTTGATAAGGTACTGACCACACCAGGCCTCCCTGGAAACTCAGCCACTGGCCCAAGCCTGCGGGCAAGGGGCCGCCTTCTGACCTGCCTCTTCCCTTGCAGTTCCCTGGCTGGTCCATGGCTCCCGATGGCTCCATTCTCATCGCCACCGGGAACGATGATGCCTTGGGGCTTTACACCTGCACCGCCTACAACAGCTACGGTACGGCTGGCACCTCAGCACCCACCCGCGTCGTGCTCAAGGTGAGAGGGGGCAGCCTGCCCTTCACGCTGCCTAAGCAGGGGGCCTGGCTAGACTCTTCCCTGGAGTCCCCCATGCAGCCCTCCCCTCTGGTGTGTTCATTTGGGAGTAATAAGTGGTCTCAGAGAACCCCAGGTATGAATCATAGAATCACAGAACACTAGAACTGGAAAGGATCTCGAGAGATCTTCAAGTCCAGTCCCCTGCCCTCACGGCAGGACCAAGCACTTTCTAGATCATCCCTGACAGGTGTCTGTCTAACCTGCTCTTAAATATCTCCAGTGATGGAGATTTCACAACCTCCTTAGGCAATTTATTCCAGTGTGTAACCACCCTGACAGGAAACTTTTTCCTAATGTCCAACTGAAACCTCCCTTGTTGCAATTTAAGCCCATTGCTTCTTGTCCTATCCTGAGAGGCCAAGCAGAACAATTTTTCTCCCTCCTCCTTGTAACACCCTTTTAGATACTTGAAAACTTTTATCATGTCCCCTCTCATTCTTCTCTTTTTCAAACTAAACAAACCCAATTCTTTCAGTCTTCCCTCACAGCTCATGTTTTCTAAACCTTTCATCATTCTTGTTGCTCTTCTCTGGACCCTCTCCAATTTTTCCACATCTTTCTTGAAATGGGGTGCCCAGAACTGGACACAGTACTCCAACTGAGGCCTAACCAGCGCAGAGTAGAGCAGAAGAATGACTTCTCAGGTCTTGTTCACAACGTTCCTATCAATGCATCCCAGAATCATGTTTGCTTTTTTTTTTTGCAACAGTGTCACACTGTTGACTCATTTTTAGCTTGTGGTCCCTATGACCCCTAGATCCCTTTCTGCCGTACTCCTTCCTAGAGACTGTCGCTTCCCATTCTGCATGTGTGAAGGTGGCGTTGTCCTTGTACAGAACTGAACAGTCAAACATGGTTAGAGCTTTTGAGTGCAGAGATCTTGGCAAACACCCAGGGCTGTTTTTCACCATGTGTTACAGCAACACAAGAAAACAAACAAGAGTTATTTAATATTTTATATTTTGAATCATTAAGATTTTGGGAAAACATCTTTATTTGATAGTTTTTAGATGGATTTAAAGGTGGTAAGAACCTATCAGGGAAAGCAAAGAATTTAGGCTGGAGCTGCTGTCTTTGCTGTTGGTAAAACCTGATCCTCCTTCCTGCAGAATAAAACAAGACAAGCACGCAAGAGGGGAGGGAAGAGAGCAGCCCGCTGGTGCTGGCTTTGTTGCCACCTCACTGCTGGAGAAACTCAGGCCCAGCTCATGATCAGCCACTGTGAGCCCTGGCAAGCTTGTACCAGCATTGAGCAGTTCAAGATGTTCCTTTTAGTTGCCTCAGTGGCCGTAGGCTTACAACGCCCATCGGTTTGGTCAGCTGAACCAGACTCTGGTTAGAAGGTGAAAGAGGGAGTGAGGCCTTGTCTGTGTGAGCACATAGGTGTTTCCAAGTTGTCCCTCTGGGTATGTCTACACTACGCGTAGCTAAACACGGCACGGACTAGGTAGTTCGGACTAGGCTTCCTATTCCGAACTACTGTTACTCCTCGTTTCCCCGTAACGGTAGTTCGGACTAGGAAGCCTAGTCCGAACTACCTAGTCCGTGCCGCGTGTAGCCGCGCGGCACGGAGTCCGCACTAGCGGACATTTAAAAATGGCGGCGCCCGGCTTTATGCAAATGAAGCCTGGGAAATTCAAATCCCGGGCTTCATTTGCAACTCCGGTTGCCTACATTACCCCCCCTAGTTCGAACTAGGGTGGTAGTGTAGACATACCCTATGGGTGCCCATGTGAGGATACACATGTCTGTGCACTTTCAGCCAGGGATTCTTCTTCTAGTAGTTCCCAGTGCACCCTCCCCTCTGAGACGGAGACTAGAAGGCAGCAGATGTTTGACTCAGTAGCCCTGGCGAGACCATCCATGGGGCCGAGCACCTTTCCCTTTTGCCCCTCCCAAGTGGGCTTTTGGGAATCCTTGGGGTCCTTTTAGGAACCAAGCCTCCCAGGTACTTCAAGCAAGAGGTCCCTGCAGGAGTCTCTTCCACCAACAACTCGGGAGCCTCCCTACCCAAGAGGAGCCATTGGTGCATTAAGGGTTGACACTTGGCAGGGAGGTGCCACCATCCTTCTCCCCAGATAAGGCCACTGCGCCCCCACTTCATTGGGGCTTGATGAAACGCACGGCAAAGGCTTTGCCGAACGCCGTGGCGGAAATCCAGGAGCAGCAGCGTCCCCTGGTGGACATCTCCCACGCCTCCACCAGGACAGGGTAGCCTTAACCATTAATGAGGTCCCCCTCTTGCCAGCATCCCATCCCGCTGTGAGAGGGCAGATAAAAAGTACTGAGTTCTGCCCAGGGCTCCGAGTACTTGTTTACTCATCCCACACCCAGCTCCCAGGTCTTCAATGCAAAGGAGTAGATGAGTGGGCAACACCGTATCAAGCCAACATCTGTCAAGGAGCTCCACTGTCTGGACCTTCCAGGGCGTACGAGCTACTCGTCCCTCTCTCATCAGTCCTGAGGCCTGGCAGGCGTGACGTTAACTAGAGTCAATGTTCTCACTATTGAGTTTTTGCCTTAGGACATGACACCCTGTAGCAATCGTTTTCATGGCCCTGGCATAGCTAAGCTAGATGATGCTCAACCACGATCCATCTGGTAAAATATTTGCCTCTGCGACTTCCTCTACTGACAGTCCAGACAGACGCTCAGGGCTCTGTGCAGGGATTTGCCTGGCTCGGGGAGGGGCACTTCTCTCTCAGAGCCAGCAGCAGCTCCCTGATGGGGACAGAGCAGTGAATCTCCCCCAGCCAGTAGGGACAGTCCCCTCCCTACCCAACCCAACACCCTGTCCCACCCTGAGCCCTCCTCCCAGCCCTGAGCACCCTCCTGCACTCCAAAGCCCTCATCCCCGGTCCCAACCCAGAGCCTATGCCCACTTCTGCAGCCCAACCCCCAGCCCTGAGCCCCTCCCCAAACAGGGAACCCCACTCCTGCACCCCAAACTCAGCATACCCAGTCCCACCCCAGAGCCTGCACCCGCAGCCAGAACCCTTGCACCCCAACCCTCTGTCCCAGCCCTGAGCCCCTAAACCCCATCCCCATCCTAAGTCCACACCTCAAGCCTGAACCCTCACACTCGTGCACCCCAACCCTCTGTCCCAGCCCAGAGCTCCTTCCCACACTCAGAATCCCTTGGCCCTACCCCCGCCATATGGATTTCATTATGTGCACCAATAGGAAGGTGTCACGCTGGCGCACAGACACTTGGCTCAGTGGTGGGAAAAGTTAGAGGGAACCCTGGGGACAGCCAGGATGGAGAAGTTTGCTCCATTGGGTCCACCCCTCTCCCAGCCAGCTGCCAAGCCCCTCCTAACTTCCAACACATCCGTCTGGGTCCATTGGTTTCTGGTCCCACCCTCCTCGTTTACCAGGGATGAACATAGCACGCTCCTGGAGTTCCAGCCTGTCTGTCTCCCTCTTGTACCTTTCCCCTCCAGGCCCCTGCTTCCAGGTGACTGAGACATTCTATAACCATCTTGGGGCCCCTTTCCACAGTTAAGCTCCCAGTTGGGGTAGGCCTGCCAGGCCTGTTGTGACAACCCCTTCCCCCCACCACCATGTGCAGCGCCGCAGTGGGGTTTGGTCCCGCACCCAGTGCAAGCCGGGACTGAGCCAGGCTGCCTATCAACTAATCAAGTAGTCAATAAAAATTCTATCGACTACTTGGTTAGTTAAATACTTGGCTCTTAACATCCCTAGCCTTGACTCCTTTGTCCTTCACGCCTGCCCCCAGAGTGGGGTGCTGAGCTCCCCCCATGTGTCTGTTCCAGGAGCCTCCCGTGTTCACCGTGCGCCCCAAGGAGGAGTACTTCCAGGAGGTGGGCCGCGAGCTGGTGATCCCGTGCGCTGCCCAAGGAGACCCTCCACCCACAGTCACATGGGCAAAGGTAGGGAAGCTGCAACTCTAGGTTCAGATGGGGCAGGGCTGAGGCTCCCGGGCTCCCTACAGCTCAGAGACCCTGACTTGGCCTGACTGCTCTGAGGAGCCAAGCTGCAGACACACTGTCCCTGTTGTCACGTGCCCCAGATACCGGACGAGGCCAGCCAGCAATGGGGGGTGGGTCTGCTGGGGGCGAAGCAGACCAGGATGGCTCCAGCTGCTTTGCTCTCCCTGCGCACTGCTCTAGAGGAGGGGGCGGGACCGGCCCACACTCTCCGGTGGGAAATGGATCGATGCAGTCAGGGGAGCACAGCAAGCCGGGCCTGCCTTGCTCCATTTCCCTGCCACTGCCAGTGAATGGAGGACCCCGGCCGCCATTTCCAGCCCTCTGCCTCAGTTGGGGGAAGAGATGGGGAGAGGCAGGGCCTGCAGCGGAGGGGAGTTGTCCCAGATCTTCCCTGGGCTGGGGGAGCCACGTGGCCCCTCAGGTCCCTCCTCACCAGTCATCTCTGCAGCCCATGCCTCGCAGACTCACGGCCTGAGAGGCAGGTCCCTGGCAATGGGGGCTACCCCTGGAGTGATTTATTCCTCAGGCTCTACCTGTGCAGAGACTCCCCATCCCTTCCAGAGCCCCGGGAGTGTGTGGGGGGGGTGTCTCCTCCTTCTAGGCAGCCTCTCCCTCTGAGAAAGCCATGAGCCAGGACTCGGGGGTTCTGTTCCTGTGGTCAGTGAGAGAGACCTCGGCCCAGCCCCTGCCCAGGCCTGTCCCTAGGGAGGAGAACGACGCGGCTGAGTTGAGCAGAGAGTGCTGGGGCCCAGCCCCCTTCCCCCAAGCCCGCTCTCACAAGCCATGGGACTGGGGCCGGGTCGCTCTGCCTCCGGCCACCATTAAGTGCGAGCGTCAGCTCAGCTCAGCTGCTGCTGCTGGCCCCTGCTCATCCCCTGGGCCACCCCCTCAAAGCGTGGGGCCTGGGGGCAGTCACTACCAATGGGACAGCTCTGCTGCGGCCCCTCCCTGTGCCTCACTTTTCCCAGGTTCAGGGCCTTGGAGATGAATGCGGCCCTGGCACCAGTGTGTGGGAAGCGAGTTCAGCTCGGTCACTGGCTGGATTACTGCCTAGATTCTCCTCAGCCCCGGTCCGCACTTGTGCTTTGCCCCCAATCTGCACTCGCCCAGCCCGGTGCCGCTTCTCTCCCCCTCCATCTGTGCGCGCTTCCTGGCCTGACACCCCCACTCTGCACAGTTGCGCTCACAGCCCAGCCCACTTCAGCCTGGTGGTGGACAGTGGCACTGGTGGTCTCCCAGACCCGTGGTGTCAGCATGGCTCTGCTTTTGCTCTGCAGCTGGGGAGCACAGGGAGGAACGGCACCCAGGTGGGCGGGAACAGCAGCCTTGTCTTCTGGCCGCTGGTTAAGGAGCAGCACGGGGCCTGGCAGTGCACGGCCAGCAACCAGGTGGCCCGGATCAGCACCATCACCTCCGTCTATGTGCTGGGTGAGTTGGGCCACATCGGCAGCCAGGAGGCCTGTCCCAAGGCCACTGGGCTCTGAGGAGGGAGCTACATGAATGTACAGGGGCATGCATGGCCGTGTAGGGGGGACCCAGGATGCGGGGGTGCGGTGAGCAGCTGTGTGTATTGAGGAGTGGGGGGGTGACTGTATGGGGTTAAGGTGAGTGTGGGCAGCTTTGGTGGGCGGCAGGTGTGTGGGTGTTGTGTGTGTGTGTGTGTGTGTGTGTGTTTGGGATGGGGGCGGGTGACTGTTGTGTTTGCGTGGAGCTCAGGGTGGAAGTGAGTGGCTGTGTGTGTGTGTTTGGATGAGCTCAAGTAGAAGTATGGGGGTTTGAGGGAGTAACTGTGTTTATATGCGTGTCAGTATCTGGGGGTGGGCGACTGTGTGGATAGGGCTCAGGACAGAAGTGAGTGGCTGTGTGTGTGTATGGGTATGGGCTCGGTGGGCAGCTGCATGTGTGTTTGGGATGGGGATGGGTGATTATTGTGTGTGTGTGGGACTCAGGGTGGAAGTGAGTGGCTGTGTGTGTGTGTGTTTGGGATGGGGGTGGGTGACTGTTGTGTGTGGGGGCGCTCAAGGTGGAAGTAGGTGGCTCTGTGTGCCTAGCGGGGGTAGCCGGGCGCCATGGGCTGCTCACCAGGGCCTGGTGGAACGTGAGGCGAACACCCAACCTCCACGTCCCAAACCCATATCACACTGGAATCTGTTGGGTTGGGCCTGTGCCCGGCTCCATTGGGCACTGCCAGGGACCCTGCAGATTGAGGCCAGTGTGTCCAGGTGAGTAACATCCCAGCCACCCCCTCCCCCAGCACAGCAACAGCCCTTTGAGAGCCCACAGATGGAGGTGCCTCCCCTGCGGGCATCCCATGCCTGGCACTTGCCCATTTCACCTGTCGGGAGGGGGTATGAGCTGGCCAGGTGGCACTCTGCCCCCTGCAGCTCCTAGCCATTGCCGAAGCCCTTGGAGAGGCAGGTCAGAGATGGCCCCTGACTGGCTGTCTCCATCAGGTACCAGCCCCCACGCGGTCACCAACGTCTCGGTGCAGCCACTGCTGCTGGCTGCCAACATCTCCTGGGAGCCAGGATTTGACGGGGGATATTTCCAGAGGTTCAGCGTCTGGTACACGCCACTGTGAGTGCTGGGCCAGGCGGGGCTCTTGGCGCCTTGGGGGAGGGCGGGGCCACAGGGCAGCCACAGAGCATGTGACACAGGCTGGTACTGGCTGTAGGCATGCTGGGCAGAGCTCAGCTCCGTGGGGGAGGACGTGGCCACAGAGCACGTGGCACAGGCTGGTACTGGCTGTAGGCATGCTGGGCAGAGCTCAGCTCCGTGGGGGAGGACGTGGCCACAGAGCATGTGACACAGGCTGGTACTGGCTGTAGGCATGCTGGGCAGAGCTCAGCTCCGTGGGGGAGGACGTGGCCACAGAGCATGTGACACAGGCTGGTACTGGCTGTAGGCATGCTGGGCAGAGCTCAGCTCCGTGGGGGAGGACGTGGCCACAGAGCATGTGACACAGGCTGGTACTGGCTGTAGGCATGCTGGGCAGAGCTCAGCTCCGTGGGGGAGGACGTGGCCACAGAGCATGTGACACAGGCTGGTACTGGCTGTAGGCATGCTGGGCAGAGCTCAGCTCCGTGGGGGAGGACGTGGCCACAGAGCATGTGACACAGGCTGGTACTGGCTGTAGGCATGCTGGGCAGAGCTCAGCTCCGTGGGGGAGGACGTGGCCACAGAGCATGTGACACAGGCTGGTACTGGCTGTAGGCATGCTGGGCAGAGCTCAGCTCCGTGGGGGAGGACGTGGCCACAGAGCATGTGACACAGGCTGGTACTGGCTGTAGGCATGCTGGGCAGAGCTCAGCTCCGTGGGGGAGGACGTGGCCACAGAGCATGTGACACAGGCTGGTACTGGCTGTAGGCATGCTGGGCAGAGCTCAGCTCCGTGGGGGAGGACGTGGCCACAGAGCATGTGACACAGGCTGGTACTGGCTGTAGGCATGCTGGGCAGAGCTCAGCTCCGTGGGGGAGGACGTGGCCACAGAGCATGTCACAGGCACAGACCCTCATGAGAGGGAGGTGGGGGGCGGTGGGCCTGGGCTCACCTGCTCTGTCTCTTCAGGGTGAAGCTCCTGAACCGGCCCCATCACGACTGGGTGTCGCTGACCGTGCCTGTGGGGGCCAGGCACCTCCTGGTGGAGAACCTGCAGCCGGCCACCGGCCACCCCTTCAGCGGCCTGGTC